TTTGCCCCCCCCCCCCCCAATATGAATAGCTCCAAGAAGAAAATGCACCTTAACCACAATGCCAAACTGACTGTCTCTGGGAAATTACTCCAATTATTTTCATGGAAGAGTTCAATCAGTGGAACATAACCTATAGAAGTTCTAGCACTTGTATTATTGAGACACTGTGCAATATCACTTAACCTTCCATCAGTAAATACTGGACATTCTGGTTTCTTTTTAAGTTGCATTTTCTTCTTGGAGCTATTCATATTGGGGGGGGGGGGGGACAGAAGAATCAGTTGGAATACTTCATTAAAGCAATCCTGTAATATGGCATTAATAATTATAACTATATAGAAATAGTGACCCAAAAGTTAAGAATGCTACAGCCAACCTTTAAAACCCATGTGTTAATGGAATATTTAAATTGGCTAGTTACCAAAGCAATCCAACTGACCCCTTTTCATCTGATTTGCAGATTATTTATTTTGTGCTAGTTTCTGTACTTTTTTGTCTACTCCTATTGATTTCAATTGTTCTATTTATGTTATAGAATTTGGAAGAGAATATTAAAAAACAAATTAGAGATGAAATAAGTGCTTGGAAGCTGACTCAGGTAAGGAAAATAACTTTTAAAATATTAGTTCGGATTTAAAAAATTACATTCACACAACCTTTTCTGTATAATTTATGGCATAATGTATTGGAAGATTGCTTGAATGCTAAGCTATACATAGACAACATTAAAATCATCTTACTATTGTAAGGGTACTTTAAAGAAGAACTAATACAAAGCTGTTTTCTTGGGTGTCTGTTTTTCTTGCCTTGCAGGGGAGGAACCATCAGCTCTAGATAATCATATGATCAAATTGTATCTTTCTTTTTTAACCCATTAATGCAATCATATAATTCTTATTTTACTCAAAAAGTGAACTCTAGTTATGGGGAGGAAGCCTAAAAGGCCATTAACAAGGTTCAATTTTCCCCCCCTTAAAATTCAAATTGCCTCCCTGTGGGGCATGGGCCCCATGTTGGGAACCACTGATCTAGAATATATTTTTACAAGGAGTCAATCTAATATGTGAAAAAATGATATATGATATATTCAGGGAGGAGGGTTTTTTTTTAATTTAAAGACATCTCAGAATTTAAATGCAGGACAGAAAGTCTCATAGGCATCTGATAAAAATCAAGATGATTAAAAAAAACAATGATCCATTTTGGATATTGCAAGCATTACAGCATTCCATTTGGATGCTCCAGATTCCTGAAGTGTCTAATTTCCTCAATTGCCTTCTATTCCATCCAGCATCCCAATAGAAAAGAAACAATGTGGCAGGTGGGCTATAAAGATATGACTTTTTGAAAAGTAATTGTTTTCTTCTAAAACTTGGAAGGGAAATATGCTGTCAGTGTAATGATGATATTAGCATATTTTCTGCCAAGAATCATGCAGTTTCAACTACAACTTCCATATTTCTAGTAGACTTTGTAATTCAAAGTCTGTTTGTATTTTCTACCATTCTTCCCAGTTTGCTCACAGGAATCCATCATTTAAGAAATTCTTTATAAAGCATACATTTTGAAGAATTTTAAAATTTCCATGAAAATAAGGTAGTACACTTAAGAATATAGTGTATGAATATTAATTGTTTCATTCAATATCTTTCTCAGATATGTACTTTTGATAAAACCAAACTGTCTATTTTTGGATGTCTCACTTTAGCTCAAGTACTTCAGTAAATGTTTTATAAACATTTTATTTTATAAACAGAAAAGAATTAAAGCACTAGAAGCAGAGTTAGAAAGAAAGCAAAGGGAGCATAAGAAATTAAAGGAAAAGATTCGGAGTAAATTAGAAAAATATGAGCAGCTTTCAGCTGAGCAAGTAGAAATACTGGAAAAAAATACAAATTTACACAAAGAACTTATTGAGGTAAGTTAAATAAGAGTATGTTGAAATGTTGCTCCATTATACTTCCCTTGTTAAGTTTGTCGCCTTTCCTTCACAGAATATAATGGACTACAAATTGGCATTTGGAATAAATCTACACGTCAATATGAAATTAAATATAAAATAACTTCTCTGTGGCTATAATGGCTTCAGTGATATGCAAAAAAAGAGATTAAAATAATTATATTTTCAAAATGGCACATTAATGGCAGTGAGTAATGTTATCAGCTTTTCCCCAAGGAACAAAACTCAGTAGAATCAATGTGATGAAGACCAAAAGGCTTACTGGGAATGTGGGAACAATTGTATATGTTTGTTTTTACTTGTATGTACAAGTGAAATGTTTTGTATGTTTTAGTGAAAACCAGTATTACATAAGCATCCTCATTCTAAGAGTAAAACTTTTTATGTTTGGTTACTTAACTGTTAATTAAAAATGTCCATCACAAAGATCAGTGCCGCCCTCAGTATTCCATGGCTTCTGGATTTTATTGTGGCCTAGGAATATGAGCTGCTAAATTATTAGCTCATCTTACTCCAGAGGAAACACTACAAGTTCAGTTTTGCAGCCACTATCTCCAAGTGGTGGAGTGAATGACAGTCTACGGGTGGGAACTTTTCACTAATCCATTTGCTCATCTGTAGTGATTTTCCCCATCTTTCCTGTAGCCATGATAACTTCCAGGGCTCCTCTGTCTTCCTCAGACATTCTGAGGGATAGCTTCATCATTTTCTTTACACATTGGCAAGTTTTGCCCTTTCCCCCCATACATTGGAATGATAAGAGAAAATGAAAGTGGATTGCCAGTTAGTTCACTGCTTGTTTCTGTGTTTTTCCTTTTACCATCTGGAGGGAGCAACTGACTGACTCCATGGTGGAAACATTGGATAAAACTGTTGCTAAGGATTTGAGAGACCTGGCCAATGACTATGGAAGTGATAAAGTTTAATAACAAATGTATCCAACTTCATTTTGATTAGATTCTATTACTCTTTTTGGTCTGCATTTGTATTTTTCAGAAAATAGCCGAATTAACTGAGAAGATCAAAGAACTTGATGACAAGGAGGGAAATGTGAAAAACCAATTAGAAAATAAAAAGAAATATGCTCAAAACCTATTAGATGATAAAAAGGTGAATGTGTTAATATTAGCATTAATGAGTTTTGTTTATTTTCAAATGCTAAACAGATGCTTGTCCTCCCTGATCTTGAATATATCTAAACCTTTCTGTAGGTGGTACAGTATTCCTTTCCCTTTCTTAAATGAACCTAATTATATCAATCTTGAGATGGAGTAAAATACAAATTCATTTTAGAGTCACTTCTATTTCTTTATTATGAGTATGAACTCATAATATTTGGGGGACTTTGAAGAAAAGAAGGTAAAAATTAGTATGAGGAAGAAAAAGTATTCAACTCTGATAGAAATAGCCTGCTGATTATACCTTTGTACAGCAGATGGCATCTTTTTGTAAATTATGGTAGATGTTTACTACTGTAGTTGTCTATATTAGCAAATGAGATATTCTGGCTATTATCATGAATACTGTGTTTATATAAATGTATTTATAATTGCAGGCCTTTGTATAAAATGTCTTATGTGTATTATTGTTGTTTTGCATTGGTTTTTATTGTGCATATTTGTAAGTGATTGAGAAATTAATGTGGCTAGCCAGTAGAGTTCACATCTGTAATTTAATCAAAACAGTGCTTTTAATCTTACTCTAGAGTCCCTAATTCTTTTTTTGAATAATAAGAATAACAACAACATTGACCAAAGACCTATGGGTAATTGGGCAAAATGGAGAATTACTGTATCACCTAATCTTAAAAGACAGTATAATGGGAAAAAATGCAATCACAAATAAATCTAAAAGTAGCCAGGAAAATTATATATCTGAACATCCTTCACCCTATCACCTTTACCCGAGAAGTGGAATTAGGCAAAATAAAAAAACTAAGCAAAATAGACAATATAAATTAAACCAGGAGATAAGAGAAAAGGAAATTTAACTAAATATAGTTTATGTCAGTATTGTTCACAATGCATACCATATATTTTTATCCTTGCAAACTATCCTTGGTTCTACCATGTCTATGGATCAGTTTGAACAAACCAAACAGCTACTTTGTTTCATATGGTGCCAAGATGATACAGTATTTTGCATTTCCTTTACAGGAAATTGCACAAACAGAGCACCCAAAACAAAAAAAAGCTTTCTTATATTGCCATGTTAACTGGGAAAATACTTCCAGAACAACGAGAAAAATCAGATCGTAAGAAATAGTTGTTCGTTTGTTTGTTTGCTTACTTACTTACTAAATTTGTATGTCATCCATCCCACTGTCAAGCAATGGATGGTGTATAAAAGCACCTGTCATAAAAGCAAAAATGCAAAACATTAAACATTAAATATTAAAATTAATCAGCACCTTGAATGGGACCTGGAAGTAAGCTAGTAATCAGTTCAGCTTGTACAACAGTGGTGTTACATGTCCACATGACTGCATTCTGTGCTAGCTGTAGCTTCCAAATATTCTTCAGCCTATATAGAGCACATTGCAGTAATCCAAACACAAGAGGATCCAGGCATGAGTGACTGAGTGCAAGAACTCATGATCCAGGAAAGGGTACAACTGGTGTACAACACAAACTTATGCATAGGCTCTCCTAGTAATATCAATATCAATAATATTATTAATTTTGAAAAAAAGAGAATCCATTATTAGGAAACATCATAGTCCTCCTAATTCTATATCAAATAAGTATTTTAAAATAATTGCATTGAATGGTGAATCATATTTAGATGTAGAACCGGGGATGCATTTTCTGGTGAAAGTCATGTAGTTTATTGTTTTGTTGAATTGAGAGAGTGAGTGGCCCAAAGTCATTCAGCCAGTGACTATTGCTATGTATTTTCATTCATTTTATCTAAAATATTTTATCATTTGCTCTAATCTCTATACCTTACTTGGCTCTTTTAGATGGCATGGCAGAGTGTGATGTGGGTAGGAATTAATGCTGTTCAGGGGGAGAGGTGATAACTTCTAACTTGTAAGAGGGAATGGTATTTCCTGAAGAGCCCATTTCTCATTTCAGCATATTAGACAACTACACAGTCTTCAAGTTATGCTTTCTGGGAGGATTCTAAATAAGATGTTAGGGCTTCAGCTACAAAGAATTCTACAAAGAAATGAATTATCTGGATCCATTTCAGCCAATAATCAAACCTGGGCATAGGATTGAAACAGCATGATAGATAACCATTGTCTGGAACTTGGTGGAGGGAGGTGGACTGCTCAATTAGACTTCTTGGTGATATTACTATTGCCTGTATTATCCTTTGAGGAGTTTGGCATTTTAGACATCATGTGAAAGTGGTTCCATTCCTTCCTAAGTGGGCAATTCCAGTCATTGATAATAGAAGATTAGTGAATAAGCTTCCAATACGGAATGCCTATGAAGGTGACCCAGAAAGTACAACCATTGATTCAGTGATTAGACTAATGATAAGGGTAAGGCATATAACACCAATGCTTCAGTAACTAAATTGGTTGCCAACCCCTGTTCAAACTATATGATTGACCTTCGTGCAGCTTCAGAATCATCTCTTCCAAGTAGATGGGGTTCACCAGTGCATTCTTTCTGACAGTGAAAATCATTTCTTATATAGTCATCATGTGAAACAATAATAAAAAGCACAGGGAAGACATATTGAGCAAAGCACAAAAATAAAATTATCTTACTTGTAAAACATATTTCAAAACATAACTGATTTAAACAAGTGTACCTTTACTGAAATTGTGTTACCTAACTTGCATTACATTTTCAACTGCAGTTATGAAAATAGTTCTGTTTTGGGATAAGTAATTTAATGCATCATTGCATGTAATTGTGCTTTTAAACATTTTTTTTAATTTTCAGGAGAAATATTTCGGCATTTCAAGCCAATTTACTAAAGTCAATAAGGAAATTGTACATTTACAAAAAGAAATTGCAAAATTAAGTGCTTTAAGGAAAGGACAGGAAAACCAGGTAGAAAATATAGAAAAATCTGTAATCACGTTGAGGTAAGAATCACATTCCAAAAAATAATGCATAGTGTTAAGTTGAGAGCAATAGAATGGGAGCTTTCAAAAAATTCTCACTCTTTGAGCCCCCTGCCCTAGTCTCTTATATGGGTTCCCCAGCCCTCCAGAGGACATTCTGAGAGGAGCATAGTTTGACCCAGAGGGCAAAGAAAACTGAAAAGCTGTATGGTTCCAGTTTAAATACATACAAAAATATATGTATGAGAATGTTTTTTCCCACCAACACAAAAATAAGAGACGGGGTTCCTGATAAAAAGGAGATGGGGAAAAGACAATACTGAACATGACATAAATTGTACCTCAGAACAGATATATATCAGATAACAGTTGTAAAAGTTTTAGAAAATTCCAGTGAACACAAAAAAGACAATAAATAGTGTCATGTCATCTTTAACACAAACCAATTTATTTTGCTATACAATTTTGTGAAATATGGATGCGTGCACATACACACACATGACTTACACACATTAAACACACATCATATACACACCATTTAATAAAATTTATTAAACATAAGGAAAACAACACAATGAAGTATTACTGTGGTTCATATGTCTTCTGTGGTTCATAGTGTCCTCTCTGACATTTAACTAATGCATGATTAATATCACATATCTTTATCATCATATTACATGTGAAACCACATAATGTCTCAAGATACGATCTATGTCTATGAAATCATTTCAGCTTGTAAAAACTTCTTTGTGAAGAATTGTAAAACACAGACATCTATGAAAAGCCAAGATTTTCTTAGAATGATAACATGTGCTTTGTGAGATCAGTCTCAGTTCCATCCATTATATATTTATGCCTGACCCAAGTAGAAAAGGGATGAAGTTTGTGTTGTGACAATCTGACTCATGTTTTGTCATTTGCCCTGAGTACTGATGGTAAAAAAAACTGTTTTCAAGAACTATAATCATGGAATATTGTATAGGACAAAAACTGTTCTTTCTTCTATTCCAAAGAAGTTAGAACCCTTTTTAAAACATTCTTGTATAACTAAATTATGCTTTATATAGACTTTATGCAGGCATATAGGCACACCAACAAACAAACATATACTGTATGTAAGCATAATTGGATGAACAAGGTTTGAATCAAATAGATTACCTAATAAAAAAACCAAAAGATGGAGGCAATCCAGTCAACCAAGACATTTTCAGATGCAGATTGATGAACAGACTATGAATTGCTAGTTTCAAATATATGAAATTAAAGAAAGTAGGTGTGCCAACACATTTTAACCTAGAGGCCTTATAGACAGAATATAAGATCGGTGTAAGATACATGTTTAGTATGCTTATATTATACAAATATGAATTAGAGGATCAGGAAAGAATAATGATACCATGAAATCAAATACAACCAACAATTATGAGGAAGCTTTTCAGAAAAAGCTGAAAGAAATGTACTAATCTCAATCACAAATGTAAACAGGAAAAAAACCAAGAACAATAAAATGAGATACATTGTTTTAAGATCAGGGAAATCACAGAAAAATTTATAACTAAATTAGGAATATTCAAGAGCAATCATCTGATGGAGATTTTTTAAAAAGATTGGAAGGAGCCCTATTGTAAATTTAACAGTGGGGTTAGAAAATGGCACATTTTAGAAGGGGAATATATTTGGGAGCTGTCTTCATTAGTAAGTGAAATAGATTAGCTGATGAAGAGAAAAGCACTAAGCACAAAGGAAATGTCCACTGAAATTTTTAAAGACTCAGAAAAGGGGAAGTTACAGTATTAACAACTGCTTTAAGGAAAGGACAGGAAAGCCAGGTAGAAAATATAGAAAAATCTGTAATCACGTTGAGGTAAGAATCACATTCCAATAAATAATGCATAGTGTTAAGTTGGGAGCAATAGAATGGAATATGGAACAGGCTGTATGGCATGCAGATTGGATGAGATTGGTGCATATATTGTACCAAAAAAGGGGGGATGCAAGTAAATGTATGGATTACTGAATCATTGCAGTGATTCTCTGTGTAAGCAAAATTCTGCTTAAAATCTTGTATGAACTACAGAGTCATACATGCAGAGATAGGATGGCAAATTAATTAACAAGTTTCAGAAAAAATAAAGAATTAAAAATAATCAGGTAATATATGATCAACAAGCAAGAACTTAATTATTTTGGGATTCTAAGTCTGCTTGGCAAGATTGAGGAAACTAGGTATAACCACACATATGGATGGATGGGATCAAGAGCATTAACGAAATGTCCTTAGAAAAGCTAGTTACTCAATAGGGACAACTCAAGATGGAAAATATTTTTCGTCTACTGTAGTCACCAGAACCTGAACCTATTGCTACTAACTAGAAGTTTTAACTACTGACAATACTTCACAACTTTGTACTGCAGCTAAACTGTGTGTATGTTTTGTTAAAGATTATGGCTTCAGTCTCTTAACTTTTACTTAAAATGTCTTAAGTGGTCCCAGTTGAGATACATATGTGACTTAATTTAAATAAGGTTCGTGTGTTTTACATTATTATATAAATTTATAGTCTATATCTATAAAATATCTTTGGAGGCGTGTGTCTGTGTGTGTCTGTGTGTGTGTCCACTTAGATTTAGCTGGGAGCTACTGAAAAGAAATGGTCCAATAAACTGTATGTGCACATTGCCCTTACACATTTATAAAGCATCTCACTAGATTGCAATTACTGTTTCTGCATGAGCAGTTTGCCTAATAGTTCTGAGTAATTTTTCATACAAGTAATGATATATTTTCTCTTCCTTAAAGAGAAAAATATACCAAAATAAAGTCCAAGGAAGAAAATATTCGGAGATTAGTTGATTTTCTCCATGCCCGGCTGGATACTGTTAGAAAAAAAACGAAGACAGACAACAGAATACTGGATCAGCTACTGTGGACTAGACAAAATGATTTGAAAATTAAGAAGGTTTGTGCTATTTACATTATTATGTTTCTTTTTCTTTTTTATAAAATGAATATGTACTATAGTTAAATTGATTTCCTTTTCTGAGAAAAGTATGGCAAACAATATATGGGCATTCTGATGAACCATCTTGGAAAAAAGAACATTAACCAAAAGACACTATGTCCTTCCAATGTGGACATTTATTTGTTTTTTATTAATAGTTTCCCTATGAAAGTTCCATGTTCATGTAACATGTTTCCAACTAATGGTATATGGGAATGGCCATGGGAGATAAGGCAAAGAAATGTAACCAAGGGAACTGTTGGATAAAAGGCAGCGGAGCTCGTTAACAAGAATGTGGATGGGGCAAGAGGCTCAGAAGAGACCCTCTCTATTTTCTTAGGCTATAAAGGTGAGGGAGGCAGAACTTGCAAGTTTCTGTTAAAATAACTTTAGAATAATGTAAAACTAGCTCATCTGGTTGTGTTTCTTCTGTGGTCCACCTTATAAGCTGATACCAACAGAACTGAGAAACTGAAGGACCATTATATTTCATATGTGAAGCTCCAAGTATAAGATAATTGACACATAGGAGTTCCTATATGATGAGTTATGTAGCTGTATAATGCTGACACACAGCCATACAAAGGTACCACTGCAAGTTGATCATAGATTGAATATATGTGCAATCCCCAACATAGGACTGGAACTATAAGTACTTTTTGTTTCAGCCAGATTACTTAGTGGAGTTAATGAAGATGTAGTTGATTGTTCTAATCTTTCCCAAGTCATAAACATGCAGCCAGAGAGCCATTCCCTGATCTTAAAATATGTATTTCATTTTCCTGTTCCAGAGAGTAAGAAATATAGTCTTATAAAGAAAGTCCTGGTTGTTTTCGTTTACAATTTTTTCTCTTGAGACTATGTTTGGCATTTAAAATGGTTCCCTTAAGCTTTTTCAGAAAATGATTGACAAATTTATTTAAGCCCTTACAGAACCATGGTATGAATTGGATGAATTTTGTGCTATCACTTTTTCCTCTTACTAATCTACTTCACAAGCAAGGTTGTATTATGGTAGTGAGAATGAGTTGTGGGATACTGAGGCAAATCTGTATCTGGAAAAAAGAACATTAACCAAAAGACACTATGCCTTTTGCATTATGCTGTTGAATGGAGTTTGCATCGCATTGTGACTTTTGTCATTTGCCTCTCTTGCCTGCCCTTGCCCATGTTTACAAAGTTGTTGGGACAAGAATAAAAAGGAAAGGTGATCCTAGATCTTTATACAGATAAAATGAGAGATACCGTAACTGAAATCAAAACATTAAAGATAAAAAATATTCACCAGAGCTTTTTGGAAGATTACAGTGGAAACCGAATTCTTATCTTCTGTTCAGTTAACAGTAGCCTCCATTGTATATTTTAGATACTGGTATTTCCACAACTAAAATGTGACTTTTATTTTCTCATACTGTAGATTACTCCTTTGTATTTTATTAGTAGCATACTAAAACTACTATATTTTAGTAGCATAGAGTGCATTTGGTCAGTGGTGATTGTCTCATTGGTTGCACACTTTCTTGTGCAAGGACTGTCTATTTAGTGGCCTAGAACATCGAAGTACACTCTACAGAGGCCTGTTCTTGAAAATGTAGAAGCCACAGTTAGTGTAAAATGTGGCAGTAGGTCCACTTATTGGAATATCTTTTAGAAGCTTCACAAGACCTAAGGCAAGGGTCCCCAAACTCTTCCTAAACCTCTTCATGAAGTTTCGGATTGTTCATTGACCCCTAAAAATTTATTACATGGAAATAATTTTATAAATACTATTTTAAATAATAGTACTATGAATAATAATAATAATAATAATAATAATAATAATAATAATAATAATAATAATAAT